CTATCTCCTGTGCTGCAGGTTGCCAAGCAGCACAAAATATTGTATAGGAATGGTGATCTCACTGTTTTAACCTCAAAGCAGAGCACCTCTGGTCTTTTGTTCTTGTAAATTAAGTAGGGATTCAGAACTGTGCTGTCTTTGTATTGCATTTGTTCATACAAAGTCAAGAAGTAATTAACTTTGTCCAATTAAAGAAAATACATGTGATGAAAATCAAAATAAATGTTCAACATCTACTCCAAACATCTATAGATCTATGTCTGCGTATATCAAACATTGCGTATTTATCAGAACACAGTATCTTTTTATCCTTGACATTTATGGGGACACTGTATACATTTTTTGAATACCTGACACGGGAGGTGGACAATTGGGGATGTAGCCTTGTAAATGGTCATGCCAGCCAGCTGCCAATGTACAGCTGGGCAGATATGCTGATTTTTAGCAACTCTTTATCATCTGAGCAGGCATGGCTGAGATCACATATATTGCCAGTAATTAAAGGACCACTATAGTGCCAGGAAAACACTATAGTGACCTCAGGGTGCCCTCACCCTCAGGGTCCCACTCCCGTGCCGCTGAAGGGGGAGGAAGGGGTTAATCCCTTACCTTTTTTCCAGCGCCGGGCTCCCCCGGCGCTGGGACTCTCTCTTCTTCCGTCATCGACTGAATGCGCATGCGCGGCAAGAGCCGCTCGCGCATTCAGCCAGTCTCATAGGAAAGCATCGATAAAAAAGGTAAGGGATTAACCCCTTCCCCCCCCTTCAGCGGCACGGGAGTGGGACCCTGAGGGTGAGGGCACCCTGAGGTCACTATAGTGTTTTCCTGGCACTATAGTGGTCCTTTAATTACTGGCAATATATGTGATCTCAGCCATGCCTGCTCAGATGATAAAGAGTTGCTGAAAATCACAGTGAGAAGCGCGGAAGCGCCTCTAGCGGCTGTCAATGAGACAGCCACTAGAGGCTGGATTAACCCATAGGTAAACATAGCAGTTTCTGTGACACTGCTATGTTTACTGCAAAAAGGATTGTCCCTAGCTGGACCAGGCACCCTGACCACTTCATTAAGCTGAAGTGGTCTGGGTGCTTATAGTGGTCCTTTAACTGACTGTGCACACACAGTGTTTTGCTTATTAATCTCTCCATTGAAGTCAGCATTTATAACCCATGTCCTCGGGAATCCTGGAGATACAGTTGTAATCAAAATCATTCAGCCTCCACTGAATTTCAGGTTTATTATGAAAATGTTCAGACGTTCAGCTGTTTGTGATGAACAAATCAAACAAAAGCAATTGGAACAGCTCAACACAACAAATGTTTCAAGTGGTTTCCCCAAGTTTAACTGAAAATTAAACTAATAATGACTTCTCCAGTCTCAAAATTATTCAACCCCCTGAACTGAATCCCTCAAAGCAGCACAAATATGCAAAACATACAACTCAGACTGTATTATCCGGGACAATAGGACATCCCCAAATCAAGACTGCTTTGCCAAAATCGGGTCACTTGTCAGTTATGTTGATGCCTGCAGAAAGTTTGTATTTGCGGCTGACCAAAAATTCCTTTTACAGACTTTCATCAAGACTCAAATTTTTATTTTTATTTTGCATAGTGTCTTTGAAATTTTTTTAAGAGCCACATATTAACTGTCTCAATGCTGGATCTAACAATCATAAGGGAGCAAAGTGCATTTCTTTATTCTCCCTGTTAACCACCTCAGCAGGAGTTAGCCTGAGGATACTCCTTCATCCATCTTTTTCCTACCATAGCACAGGGCCGCTGCAATATTTCAGACACATTGACAGGTTTACTCAGTGCGTTTTTTCTATAAGATGAATTAAGGCATTACCTCATAAAAAACATTACCTCATATGTCTTTCCAGATACAGCGCAGGGTTTTGGAAGGCACTCAGGACAACACTTTCCGGGTATGACAGCCAAGGTTTCGTCCTATAATTATAATTATATGTCTCACTTGTCAGTAGGATAGAGGAAGAGCTATAGACAAGAACACTTTTTTTCTGTCAACAAATCATTATTGGGCCAGTGTAGACAGGCCTTGAGTAGTACATTTCTTTTACAGCTTACACATTTTGTAAGAGGAGATTCCAAACAAGTGATGTCATCCAGTTTACCTCAGGCCATCTTGTTATGCTGAGGTAAAACCGCATCGTAAAATGACAATCTCAAGCAGACCTGCCACATCTGAACAATGCTTGATGTATATTTACGTCCAGTTTAATTTACTTGTCATTTGAACTTTTTTCTTACTTATATACTAATTCTGCTACTTCCTCGCACTGTTCAAGTTCCAAATCCCTTGTTTCAGTGTTATATAAGTAATAGTGCAACATATTTGACATATAGAGAGAGATTTATCATTGCAAAATAGGTGCTATTTTGAGGCAAAGTGCTAAATGTTGAAAGATACTCCACAGGTTTCCATGGTGACTGCTCCTAATTTAACACTTTGAGGTGTAATGGATTTTTAATAACTGTAACATTACTGTTGAAAGGGATTCTATAGGCACCCACACCAGTTCATCTCAATGACATGATCTGGGTGCTATGTCACTGTAGTTTAACCAGCAATGTTTTCAGTTGCAGGTATAAAACGTGTTACACACAAGCATCATATGCACTACAGCCCGTTCTAGTGGTTATCTGGGCAGGAGTAACCTGACCTGGTTCCCCGGTAATGGTGCAAACGAGCCATGGGATGTAAGGTCAGTAAAAATTACCTTTAAACCCCTGCAAAGAGGGTATAACCTACGTAAGTAGAGGAACACTAAAGAGTTACAAGTTTGCATTGCTAATGGTATAGTGTTCCCTATTAAGGGTTAATAAGCATGTAGTGGTGTATATAAAATATTCCCCTTTCTGTCTCATTAGAGATATCTTTGCCAGAAGCCCAAGGAAGCAAGGCGAATGGTTAGAGTTAGGACCCACCTAAGAGGCCTGCCTTGACGTGGCAGGTGGGCATATCCTCTCATGGCCATTGGAGGTAACTACAAATCTCCATTTGTTTAAATATACATAAGGATTTGGGAAAGAGCGCAGGTAACTTTTTTTTCCTTAGTGTTGCTTTAAAGAGTCAGTTCTCACCTTATCACAAAACATGGGCGGACAAGCCTCAGTGAAGCAGTGAGTTGCGCCATTCTCGCATGTACATTTAGAGCACTTGCTCAGCTGATGCTCTTCGCCATCCCGCAGCATGTGTCCATCAATAGAGCATGGGTCTGCAAGACATCAGACATCATTTTCTCCCTGTACATACACTTTCATCTTTTTCACAGAATCCAACTCACTTATTTTATTAAATGTGTGCAACAAATAATATATGATATTCTATTATTATTATTATACTTTATAAAGACAGATGTATTGTGTAACATATAAAAGTTCAGTAGCAAAATCAGATTTTAAAATAAGTGAAGATTGGATGAAAGACTGTGCTAGTCGCGCTATGAGCAGACGTCTTAACTCCTTCATAACAAAGAGTTAGGCAAGTCCTTTTACATCATGACATATATGGCATCTACTAGGTCATTTAGGGGTTAATATTCTCGAGGGCATGCAATATACTCCCATAGCTTCCTTTTATCACAGTTCAAAAGCCATCTCATCTTCACTGAATTAATTTGCCTCATCCTCTGTAACTTTAAAAAGATTATTCTCTTGATTTAAGTTCTCTACCTTCATGTTTATTTATAAAAACAGGAAAGAAATAATTATATAAGAAGACTACCAATTATATATTTTCATTGATGTATATAAAGTTTTTGCTGTTTCTATGTATTCTGTATATCCTGTATATACTCTGTATTTCTGCAAGTCATTGCCCCTTCCTGATCACAGTTTGACTATGTTTCTGAATGTTCTACTTCTTAAAAGTAAAAAAAAATTACAGAACCATACTGGCTTTTGTTGCCTTATTCTTACTAATATGATTTGTACAATTCGCATATAAAACAGCATGGTTTAATGGCTTTTATTACATGATCATTACTTTTGTCAATTTGCTAAATATCTTGATCAAGTATAAATACCTATCAGAGAAAAGTTCTTCTAAAAGTGGGCACATATTAAGTAGATTCCTTAAAGATGGCTAAAATAGTAATTATTGCTAAACTAGTTATCAATTTGCACTGCAGGTAATTTTGTAAGAAATAATGTTTAATTCAGTATAACTAAATTAATTTAAAAAAGTATCAAGAGAAAAGCAATGGTAAGATAGGCATTAATGGTACCATCAATCAGTGCACTCGTACAAGAAGAATGGAGCATCACATGAATACAAAGTTAACACAAGTTATAGGTGATTTTCATTGTTTAATATCAATAGTAATTATATTGGCAAGTATGTGGCATAGGTTTCTTTACAAATATGGCTAGAACACTATTACTCAGTCTTAGGCAACTTGTTCAAATGTGACCTGCGGCTGTTTTGCCAGCCATAGTCACCAAAACTACTTTCACTTAATGATGCAGTTTTTGTGCATAGCTCATGACCCTGCAGACTCACTGTTCAATTATCTGTCATTTAGGAGTCAAATAACTTTGTTTATGCAGCCCTAGGCACACCTCCCTGCATGTGACGTACACAACCTTCTTTAAAACGTCCTGTAAAGAGTCATCTAAAGTTTGCACTTCCTTTATTGCAAATTCTGTTTAATTTATAATTTCTTACCTCCTACTCTGCTAATAGGTTGCTAGACCCTGCAGGAGCCTCCTGTATGGATTTAAAGTTCAATTTACAGAATGGGAGATTACTGTTTACAGTAAGTTAATATCTGATTGAAAATGAAACCATTTTGTTTTCTTTCAGGATGTGTCAGTCATAGACAGGGGAGGTGTGGTTAGAGCAGCAAAAACAGTTACAGAAGTGATTTAACTCCTAAATGGCAGATAGTGATGTCCCGAACTGTTCGCCTAACGGTTTGCCACGAACGGTTCGCCACTCATCATTGAGTAAACTTTGACCCTGTACCTCACAGTCAGCAGACACATTCCAGCCAATCAGCAGCAGATCCTCCCTCCCAGACCCTCCCACCTCCTGGACAGCTCACTAAGAATGCAGCTTCACAATGGATGCTGTCCAGGAGGTGGGAGGGTCTGGGAGGGAGTGTCTACTGCCGATTGGCTGGAATGTGTCTGCTGACTGTGAGGTACAGGGTCAAAGTTTACTCAATGATGAGTCCGTGGCGAACCATTCATGGCGAACCGTTCGCGAACCGTTCGGCGAACAGTTCGGGACATCACTAATTGCAGATAATTGAGCAGTGAAACCTCAAAGGCATTATATACTATACACAAAAACTGCATCATTAAGATAAAGTTGTTTTGGTGACTACAGTGTCTCTTTAACTTTTTTTTTTTTGAAATGCTAAAAAAATTATTTTCAGGTTTTCTCTGATTTTCATTATTTTTAGTAGGTAGGTTGAGGTGATTTTGAAATGTAAAAGTTTTTTTCATAACAGAAATGTTACCTGTTTGCAGCACTGCCTGGCTGTCAAAGCACGTGTCTAACTTTTTCTCAGCCTGTGGCCAATTAATAGCAATCAAACAATGCACTCCAGGTACAAAATACTGTAATCAAGCTTTCATTAACCAAGTTGAAATAATTCACGTAAGACCCTTTCCATTTAATAACGTCTTTCTGTGTTGATAGCAAATGTCACTAAGTGGCATCACACTAAGTGCACCTAATTGGATTCAGAGATTTATTTGAACAATCGGTCCTTTCCCAGTGCCCCTAATTAGACGGTCCTGTCAACATAACAGGGTGACATGACTAGATATGGGGGTGGGAGAGAGTGGAGGCGAGAAAATGACTCTGGAAAATGAAAACATTTCAATTAGTGTTTAGCTATTTTGCATTCGGTGAGCAAATACAGAGACCTGATCTGTATATAAATAGATAAATAAAGCTTTCAGAAACCTCAAGCTATAAAATATTTATATAAGGGTGCAAGAAATAGTTTCTAACACATCCAATACACCCACCTCTGATAAGAAAACGCTCTGCGTACACTAACACTAAAATAATTAACAAACCAAGATAATGCTTGCTTGTTTTTTAAAGTTGCGTATCATGGATCTTTTAAATTAGAAGACAGATTACAATGCAAATAGAACTCATTGACTTGTTCAACATAATTATAAACTAAAAGCATTTTTGCCAGGGATACATTTAATTCTGCGTTCTTGTAAGCGATTACATTTTCTTAATTAGAGATCGCACTGATATTGATGTTTTATTGCATCACAGATCAATAATGACCTCAGAAAACAATTTAAAAGTCATATGATAATATTAACAAACATGGTTCAACATTTTCATTTACTCACTCGCCCATATGCAAATGGAAAAAAAGCCCTTGTGAGCACACCTTGTCACAACGATTATATAAACAACTCACCATATGTGACTACAAGATAGAATGAAGCCAGACACATCTTTCTGGTTCATGGACACTATGGTACCATAGATCTTACAGATTATACAAAGTTGTGCTTCATCCAGCTTAGATCAGCAGATTCCCCACCATGCCTACACTTTAACATCTTGTAAATCACATCCCAGCATCCTACTGGTTGGAGCAGTGCGGTTATGAGCTACCGTGTGCACAGCTCTGTACAGTTGTCTCTGCCTCTAATGGTAGCAGAGGTAAGCAAATACAAGAATGTCTTATATATGAGTGGTCTTCTAAGAATAGCACAAGTGAGTATGCCATTTCCATAGGGAGGGAGACAATTGGGTTTTTACCTGAAGAGAGCAAACGGACTGACACATAGTGGGCAAAAACTATAGGGCAGAAATTTTTACATTTGTATTTATCATTATAACATATTTTACTTGGAAGGATATATTGATATTTCTCTCGCTTTCAAGTATGTACTGGGCCCACAAACACTCCATTGTTACAAAAGGGTACAATATAATATTAAAACTAAAATAATATTAAAAACACATTTATAAATTCAACACAGAACAGGTAAGAAATATAATCAACCATGAATGCAGTCAAGTGACGTGGGGATGGAGGGGCTAGTGAAGTGGGGTAGCAGTGAGCCTATAACATGAGAAAGAGTGACAGCAGCTTAGAAAGGGGAAAGGTTAGACATCATTGCCATAAACGGTATTAAAATCTGAATAAATTGTAGTATGTTACAGCATGGACAGGTTAGGTAATCACATGAAAGCATGCAAAGTTATGCGTTGGGTGAGATGTCCCAGAAATTGCTGAATCAATAGTCCTCACGCACAGCTCTATACAGGTAATAAGCTTGTTATATCACAGCAGATTCCATTCCTACCTCTAAGGAAAAATGACAATGACAGCTCCTGACATGCTAATCGAACATTCGCAGATATGCACTCTGCATAATACAGGGTTTCATGACAGATCGCTACTAGCACACTTTGACAAAATGTTGACTTTGCAACTCCTCAGATATATTTAATGTGAATTTTGTCAGATTGCACAATGAAGAAAAATGCCTATTTAGACAATAGTGCCAAGATTCAACTGCTGTCAATGTGGGACCACAATCCTTTCTGTAGGGAATGTATTTAGATTTTAGACAGATGTGTGTCCTAAGGATTAGAACTCTAGAAGTACTTTGTCCCCAGAGATGGTGGTTTAAAAAAAATCCCTGCGTCCTAAATACAGGCACCCCATGAATCTCTATGTGGCCTGGAGTCTGGCATTTTAAACCTGGCTCAACAATATGTTCTGAGGAAGTCAAACCTCATTCTACAGAGGATCTTTGGCAACAAGTAGCATTTAATTCATTGGAAAAAAATGTCTTAATTGGCCATGATGGGAACAAGAGTAAAAGACGAGTTGGAGAAATAATTTTGATTACTTTTAAATGTTTAAAGTGACACTGTAGGCACTTTAAAAAAGTCATTTGATTAAAGTTGTTGTAGTGCCTGCAGTTGTGCTCCCCCTCTACTAACCCACAAAACCCAATATTAAACTTATTTATGCGTTGGGTGAGATGTCCCAGAAAGACTTGGCACTGGCAGGACAGCTTTAAGTTATGAATCCAAGCCCTCTGTGTATCTAAGTTCCCGACTCTCAAACCGTAACATACGTCTCAAGGATGACACAACCCGAGGAGAAGGTCGCAACAGTGCAGAGAAAGACTTGGCACTAGAGAACAAGTGAGTAATTTTTATTTTATTTTTTTGTTTGTTGGGTTGTTTTTTTTGTACAGATGGGAAGGGTCACCAGGACTGTAGTGTTAGAAATACAGGTACATATTATATTTACTATGATTTGCATTGCTACACATGTATCTGATAGCCTTTACAATAGGATAAACAGATTGTTATGTGTTGGAACACAGGGGAGATTTGCTTGTAGACATTGTGGAAGCCATGAGGTAATATAGGAAACGAGGGTATTCCCAGGCTATTGTCTTCTGCCTACCTTTTAATAAATCCAAAACTAATCTCAACCCCTTACCTCCAGTCCCCACACAGGTAGGACAGCATTTTCCAGGAGCTAGATGCTCAAACTCTCCTTTCTTGCATCTTGGAATAGGACAGGACTTTGGGGCACACGTAACTTTTCCATTCATACATGAGCACACCGTGCATTCAGATGCTGTCCACTGGGTACCATGCTGCCAAAAAAGACACAAACTGTGTTATAACATGTGCATAGATAGACAGACAGAGAGAGAGATTTGTAGCTCTGGTATGCTATCCCTCATTTAGTGCATTACATAAAATGATAAGAAAATATTTATAATTTGCTTTAAATATGTGGTTATCCAGTAGATGTGCATAGAAAGAATATTTGTTTCAGTTTCAATAATTTTCAATTTGACCCAGATTCGTTAATGAATACCGACCGATTTGGTTCGAATTACTAAATGGTGCCAACATTTGTAAGTTTTTGGACGTTGCCATTCCTGCAGTTGCTAATCAATCAACCAATATTCATTTTCTGACCAAATAAATGAAAATCTACATTTTCACAACATTTTTGAGTCTTCCAAAAATTAATGAACACACCTATTACTCCGATTAGTTTTCTAAATAAAATATCCCCGAAACAATTCATAAAATAAAAAAATATGTATAATGCAATACAAAAAAAAAATATTGAGAAATGAAACACAAATGCTGATTCATATGTTACTATTTCTAGGATTCTGTAAACTATGCCTGTCAATTGTTGGAAATTCTCTAGGGAACTGCAAATTGAAGGCCATAAGAGTAGAACTTGAAATTTTACCCAACTCAGCAATTTTTTCAGCTTGACTATTTTGGCCAAAAATTAGCAATTGGTATATTCCAACAATTGCTATCTAGTGAATTACCCCGATAGTGCTGGTGTGAGCAATTCTATATAAACTCTGGACGCCCTGATATTACTGTTCCTGACCACGTCTGTTTGATTATATCACATGCTTTTAGCCTATACTATACCACATGGACCCAATTCATGAACGTAATTACTATGGAAAAAGAACATACATACTAACGGGAGTTATTTAAAAGAACTTAATGTCAGGCACAAGTAGTACAGCAATGCTCATCAATACAATATTGTAGAATAAAAACATGTTTGAATTTATGCTTCATAGCCATTCAAACTTTATTTTGTATAAATAGTAAGCTATTGAAAATCATTCAATGGTCTTTCCACAATGTCAGCTAATTGACAAACAACATTAGATACTCAAAAACAGGAAAACAAAATATTGCTTTCTTGTCTCATCTGAATCCAGTTATGAATTAATGAAGCCACAAATAATCTTGTAAAGTATGATTAAGTAGTATGAGATGCCACAAGCACTGCTTGTCTAATTAAAAAAAAAAACTTTCGGGGTGTGTGTGTGTAAAGGGCAACGAGAGAGAACAGTTTGAAGAAATTGCTCACTGAGGAATCCATAAGTAATTGTTTATATCGCGTCCATCTGTACTTTGCAAAGACAATAAAGAGACACTAATGATTATTTATTCTGAACGACTAATGAGATTGAGAATTTGATACAAATGACAGTTTAGCATTTTATAAAATGTGCAGACACAATGAATATTGTTACAAGAGGTTTGGGAAGCTATACATGGATAAACTGTTTTAACCGAATAAGAGAAGTTGATTAATGTGGCTGTCCTTTCAAAGTCAGGAAATAAT